ATTTGAAGCTAAAAAGAGCAGAACAACAGCTAAAATCTTAAGAAGCACAGCAGCAGCTAAAAACTAAAAAATATAAAATGATTGCTAAAAGCTTAAATTAACATATTTGTAGCTAAAAGCTAAAGGTAGAACAATAGCTACAAAGTAAAACTATCTAAATGGTAGCTAAAGGTAATAAAATTGTTGCTAAAAGTAACAAAATGATAGCTAAGAGATAAAAATAGCTAAACAGCGGTGGAAAAATAGCAAACAGTAGCTAAAGATGAAAGTAGAACAGCAGAGTTGTAAAGTAACTAAGTATAAATACTTTGTTATTGTACTTAAGTAGAAATTTTGGTTATCTTGAGTAATTATTTTCCTGCCTACTTTTTCTACTTCTTATTTTTTCACACAGTTATCTGTACTTTCTACTCACATTTTAAAAAAGACAAGAAGTAGAAAGATGTTACTTCTGTTTAATTTTGGCTCATTATTGTTAAAAAAAATACTGTCCTGATAAAGTGCACCTCCTGCACAAAGTGAATTTAATTGTGGTTGGAGGAGAAATATATGCAATTCTGACACCGTGTCACTTTGTACACAATCCCTCACAGCTGCGTGTCTTTATAATTATTATTTTTTAATTTTGAGAGGTCACCTCAAAAATGAATTTTGGAAAATGTAACTGCTCAGGTTTACTTTTAATACTTAAATATCAAAAGTAAATTTCTGACATAAACTGTACGTAAGTACAAAATAAAGCAGATACTTTAAGATTTTACTCAATATTCTTAGAGAAGACTTTCACTTTTACCAAAGTAATTTCATGATAATATATTTGTACATTTACTCAAGTATCACTTTGAGGTACTTTATAAAACACTGCTGAATAGTAGCTAAAGGCTTAAAGTAGCATAAGACACAAAAAGAGTTAATATGCTGAAGATTTTTTGAAGAAATGAAGAAATTAAAAGTTGTTATTTGATTTTACTTCAAATAAAGTTCTGTATTTTGAAACAATAAAAGTGACAAAAAGTCATGAGTCAGCTGAACTGAATGTTTTATATATGAACGTGTAAAATAGCAGAAATGCAGGCTTCAGAAGCTCAGGACTTACAGAGTTTGATGTCACCTGGCTCATAGGCATACATGCGGTTGGAATAAGGTCCAGTGATGTCAGCTCTCACAGTCATGGAGGGGTCTGATGAAGAGAGCAGACACAAACATGCATAACATGGTTGTGAAGGGTCAAAACATGGCTGGACTTTAATGAAACTCACGGAAAATAACCGCTGCTGTACATCTAACTGATTCTGTGGGAAACCAGAGCGCGTGGAGAAACCACACACATGCTACTCTACCCAGGAAGGTCTGAGTTCTGATCTGGCAACCCTGTTACTGAGAGGCAGCAGCTCTACCAACTGAGCCACGTCTTTGAGGGTTTCTTTTTAATTTAAGTGTTGAAAGCTCTAATTGTAAAAACACAACGTAATATTTAGTAAATGAATCAGCTTCACACTATAAAGTGGGAGAATCAGGTGCAGCTGAGTTACTTCAAAAACTAAATGCAGCCTGTGAGTACCAACAAGTACTCTAATGTCTACTCACAACACACAAAAAACCCTTACCGACAAAAATAATTCTTGGAACATATTGCCCATCAGGAGAGAGATGTTTGTCTGTTGTTTCGTACTGAAAGGAGACAAAAATAATACAGAGTGTCAGGTTTGGACTTATTTGGTCACTTATTTTTTGCTCATCATGTGTGTGTGTTTGTCTGTAAGCAAACACACATGTGGTAGTAGCTGAGAGTCATCGCCAACACACACATTGAGCCGTAACATGTTGCAAAAAATCTCTTTAAAACTTCAGGAAGTGAGGCGCCAGGCTTCAAAGAGTCAAACAGTTCACATAATCATACATCATTTAAAGTAAAATACACTTTCACAACATAATCTGTAGCATTATTAATTATCTTTGTTTTTAAAGTGGACATATGATGCTTCTAAATCCTTCCTTTTCACATTTAAATCCTTCAGTTGGATCTTTATAAAGTGGAACAACGATATTTTGATCTGAATTCCTCCTTATTCTAACTTTACCAGCCCTTCTTTCACCCCTTTTCTGCTGTGTGTCTCAGAACAGCTGGTTTTGTTACTGTTCCTTTAAGAACAAGCCCCGCCCCCCTCCCGCTTCCAGACCGGTCCACTCCGGTTTGAGAGAGCAGGTTACGTTTTCTAGCTTGCAGACACATTTTATTTACAATTTAATTACAACATATCAACAACAGAAGACTTGTACATTCTGCCTTACATGTTGGAGCCAGAGTCTGAGCCAGAACCAGAGTCTGATCCAGAACCAGAGTCTGAGCCAGAAGCAGAGTCTGATCCAGAACCAGAGTCTGATCCAGAACCAGAGTCTGAGCCAGAACCAGAGTCTGAACCAGAACCAGAGTCTGAGCCAGAACCAGAATCTGAGCCAGAACCAGAGTCTGATCCAGAACTACAGTCTGAACCAGAACCAGAGTCTGAACCAGAACCAGAGTCTGATCCAGAACTACAGTCTGAACCAGAACTAGAGTCTGATCCAGAACCAGAGTCTGAGCCAGAACCAGAGTCTGATCCAGAACTAGAGTCTGATCCAGAACCAGAGTCTGAGCCAGAACCAGAGTCTGAACCAGAACCAGAGTCTGAACCAGAACCAGAGTCTGAGCCAGAACCAGAGTCTGAACCAGAACCAGAGTCTGAACCAGAACTAGAGTCTGAGCCAGAACCAGAGTCTGATCCAGAACCAGAGTCTGATCCAGAACCAAAGTCTGAGCCAGAACTAGAGTCTGAACCAGAACCAGAGTCTGAACCAGAACCAGAGTCTGATCCAGAACTACAGTCTGAACCAGAACTACAGTCTGATCCAGAACCAGAGTCTGATCCAGAACCAGAGTCTGATCCAGAACTACAGTCTGAACCAGAACTACAGTCTGATCCATAACCAGAGTCTGATCCAGAACTACAGTCTGAACCAGAACTACAGTCTGATCCAGAACCACAGTCTGATCCAGAACCAGAGTCTGAACCAGAACCAGAGTCTGATCCAGAACCAGAGTCTGATCCAGAACCAGAGTCTGATCCAGAACTACAGTCTGAACCAGAACCAGAGTCTGATCCAGAACCAGAGTCTGATCCAGAACCAGAGTCTGATCCAGAACCAGAGGAGAATTATTAGAGGAAGTTGTAGTTGGTAAGTCTTTGAACTTTAGTGCTGCAGACTCTGAAATGTTGTTTTCCTTTCAGCGCCTCCTTTCTGCAGGAAGCAGGACACATAAAAAACCCAGATTGTCCTTCCTGACACAACATGGGCTTGTGCCTGCAGCCTCAGTTTATGGGACCACCAGCAGTGACCACTGTGCCACTGAGGCCCCCAGACTTCTGCATTAAAACAACCACCTTGTTGAGCCCTGGTGAACATGCAACACTGAACTTTCTAATGAACTGTCAGACAGGAGCTTCACTTCTAACAGCTTAAACTGGGAAACAGACCCTTAACATCTGCTTTGCACATTTTTATATTAATGTATTTACTCTAAATCCCATTGAGATCAGATTATTTTTAGCCTGAAACCAAGCTGACATGGATTATTTCAGACGCAGGTTAGTGTGTTATGGAAAAGTCATGTGACCTACCACTAGATTAAGAACGATGAAGAACTCATCAAGAGTTTTCTGGATCTCGTTGTTGTCCGAAAAGACCTTCTTGAAGGCTAAAGGAGAAACAAAGTTAAAGGGATCCTCTGGTTATTATTGAAGGGATTTTCTTTCCAATAGTTATCAAAATCAGCCGTAACATCTGTCACATGATGGACTACAGAATATGATGAGGAGGGCAGAAGTCTTCCTCCAGGCTAGGCTAATTACTAGCTAAACCATAACTATTTTATATTGTTTTTCAGGCTTATCAACTCCTCAAAAACCTATATACGTGTGTGAAGTTAAGCTAAATGAGTTAATATTAAACCTTTAAACCAAGGGTCTGCAACCCATGGCTCCTGGGCCACATGCAGTCCCTCTACAGTGTCTCTTTGTACAAGGTAGCTTCAACCAAAAGTAACATTGAAAAGATTATTATTATTCCCATAACAAAAACAAGACTAGTTTTAAGAATTTACTTGCTCAAGTTTATGCAAATATATGAATAAAACATCCGCCACAAAGTGACACTTATAATACAAGGAGAAAATATTTTTAACATCCTTTATTTAACCAGGCTAATCCCACTTTTTTTTAACGGAGGCAGCCTAAACATGCATGTTTTTGAACAGTGACCCCGGGCCCAAATTGTCACTTTACACTCGTAGCTTGCCACTCTGTTAATCTCTTTTAATCCCAATTTCACACTAAGAAAAAACGGGCCCATGACATCAAATTTTTGTAATAAATATGAATGTATTTTTGTAAAAATAACACTGATAACATATTGTAAAAAAGATTTCATGGCACTGAGATGAACAGTTGTTGAGATATCTGCATGTGAAGTAACAGGAAGTGATGTCAAAGAGGAATGTCTGAATATGAACAGAGCAGTGCTATAAAGGCTAACAACACATCCTGTAGAGAATAATGTGATGTTTCTTTAGATTATTTTAATCACTTTCATAGAGATTAGGAAGAGTCACAATTCAAATATTATTGTTTCAATAAACAAAAACCAGGGAGTTCCCCTTTGATGTCACTTCCTGTTTCACTTTAGCTGAGCCAATTTCAAAAGAAAAATATGCCAATTATGTGACATAATGCTTAAAATCATGTTTAATATGCCAAGTTTCTTAAATATAAGTATATTTTCTTTGGCATTTCATGGATATGCACAGGCACTTTAAGTTACAAACTGCTTTATTTGAAGTCATTAAGCTGTTCCTTTTATAAACTTATGGCAAATCGTCATGGTAACATTTGAAAAGAAAAGTCTGATCTTGAATAAAACCTAAATAAAAATTCAATTAAACGAAATGTTCTGCCATTAGCAGAACAAATGTTGGTCACAATTAATTATCTGACAAAATGACCTAAATACACTAATTAGAAAAATGGAAATATAATTATTATTATTTATTAGTACTTTTAAACAATTATATTGAAA